AACTTAAAAACAAACAAAACTTACTGGCTTATTTGATGGGAAAATATAGATAAATGCAATAATAATTGAAGTTTTTGCTAGAGATATAAAGTTGATGGTTGTTATAAAAATGTACATTTTTAAATATATCAATAAATTAAGATCTATGTTTGAGATGTAATTTGCCTATATATTGTATATAATTAAATAATAAATATCTTTAGATACTCCTGGAAATCCATGGCCTCAATTTGTCATTTGAGTTGATAGGAAAAAACGACAGATGTTGACATTATCAGCAGAGTCCACTCAGGACATGTGGTGTTCCTTATCATTAAATTGTTTGGGACATAGTAAGTGCTCAATCAACTTTTATTGAATGAGTGATCTGGTATTCTTAATCATAGAGAAAAGCTGTTTATACAAGGAGACATGTATATCAGGAGTTGGCTTACCTTTTCATAATAAAAACCAGCTCTAGACCCTAAACGTCCCCCTACATTTAGCACCTCGTTGCCATCTGCCTCTCTTCGGTAAAAGGAGTAGAAAAAAGCTGTACAATTACAAACGATCCCTCTGTGTCCTCACCATATGGTGATAAAACATAATATCCATTCACCTACCTCTCTCCATGCCCCATGGTTCCCTGACCATAGCTGGGGATGCACAGAGCGCAACTCAAACTTGGAAGATGAATCTGTTTCTTTTTTAGAATTATTTAGTTTATTTTATTATTATTAAATTTGTTACAGGTTATGTGAACTCACCAGAGAGAGAGAGAAAGTAGGCCTGCGAGGTCTGGGACTTGAACTGTGAACAGCCACGTTACCTGCTGGCCCCAGAAGACAAGTTCTAATAACAGAATCTGCCTGATAAATTGCAATTTTATGGTTGCTATCTAACAAGGAAAACCACAATCCAGAATCCAAGCACCTGGGTGACTGCAGGAGGCCAAACTGAAACCTTAATGAGCAAAAGAGCCCAGTCAATCAAAGAAGAATGTTCAGCCCAAGACTCCTGGAATAGAGACCAACAAAGGTAAGAGTTCAGAGTGTAACAGAATGGAAAGGAAACCTCGAAAGCTATTGTCATCCCTCAGTCATTAAATCATGCATCCATTCTTTCATTCATTTGTGAGCTAAGGGTTGTGAGAGATATAAATATGAAGAAGACATGGCTCCTGCTGTTAAGAAACTTTGTCCATGGGGCCGGCAGGTATTATGATGGCTAAAGGTGCTGGATTTCCACATGGCTGACTGCACTTCGAGTCCTAGACCTGGCGGTTAGCTTTCTCACTTTTCTTCTCTTTTTTGGTCTCTCTCTCTCTGGTCAAATTAAAAAAATAATAATAATAGGGGCCAGCAGGTGGCATGGTGGTTGAGGCAGCTGGACTCCCACATGGCTGACCCCAGTTCAAGTCTTGGATCTGACAGCTTACTTTCTCACTTTTCTTCTCTTTTTTGGTCTCTCTCTCTCTGGTCAACTTCAAAAAATAAATAAAATAATGACAATGAATAGAATTAAATAATTCTTTAAAAATAATAACAGTAACAAATGGAAATAAATAAATGTTTAAAAAAAGAATCTTTGTCCACTGGGAATATAAAATGCCCATAAATACCTATCACACAAATAAAATGAAAAGCACTCAAGGAGGTACCAAAAACAGCACAGAGATAGAAGAAATCTCATTATTTGGGAGGCTACCAAACACTTCTGACTGTAAGACATACCAGGATTCTGAAAATACGATAACATTAGGAGAAAAAATTAACTGCTAATCTTATTACATCTTGCTAAATTGACATCTGCTATCTCTGTCTAGCCTTGGGGCCACTGGCATCTCCCGGAGCAATCACCACATGGTCCAGGAATTGAAAACTGACAGAGACAACTACCCCTTGGAGAGCACTGAAATGAGCTCATTATATTGTGAAGGTATTAAGATAACATTTACAGTGAACCAGCAGTTAGCATAATGGCTATGTCGCTGGATTTCCACGTAGTCGACCGCGGTTCGTGTCCTGAACCCGGGGGCTTAGAACTCATGCCAGGGGCGTGTGCGTACGTGCCCAAGATCCCGAGAGGAGAATGGAGGAGAAGGGATTGCGGCGTGACCATCCCCCCTGGGGGGTGATTTCTCGCTTTCTGTCTCTCTGTTTCTGTCTGTCTGGCAAGCGCACACGCCCTATAGCGAAAACCTCTCAAAAAAAAAAAAAGATAACATTTACATAAATAAATAAAACTAATTTTAGAAAAGACTTAAGCCAGTTACTGAAGTGATCGGGCACCAAGTTTGACTCCTGGTAAGTTTAGAAGAAGTAATGGGACCAGAACAGAGACCCACAGACACAAATGTACTCTGCATTTGGGGTATCTTACTCTTCTTCATGCTACTCACCAGCACAAAGACCCTCACCGCAGGCAGCCCCTTGACTTGGACCTCCAAAACCAGAAGTCGAATCAACGTCTAATTCTCTTAAATTACCCAGACATGGGTATTATCTGTTATTAGCAACCAAACAGACTAGAACACCCAACCAGGATTTGAGTCTACAATCTGCCTTGAAGCCATTACGTTACACTACCTCCCAGATATCATGACATTCACACCGCAGGCTACAAGGTGACTTTTAGCCAACTTTCCCCTTTAAACACCTGTATCTATTTTAAACTATACTTATTTATATGGCAAAAATGCATACGTCTTTATTGATCTTGTTCTGAAAATGGCATGGCTTTCAGGACACAGATTTCACAATCTTTAAAGGGGAATTTGCTTTGTTAATATGAAAGGGGGCCAGCAGGTAGGGTAGTGGTTAAGATGCTAGACTGTCATGTGGTAGACCACAGTTCGAGTCCCAAACTCAGCAGCTTGTGTGTATTTGTGCATTTCCAAAATCTCAAGAGGAAAATGAAGAAGGGATTGCCTGGCCATTCCCCCCTAGGGGGTGTATTCTTGCTTTCAGTCTCTCTGTCTCTCACATTCTCTCTGGTGAGTGCACATATCTTATAGCATAAATCTTTCTTAAAAAAACAAACAAACAAACAAAATCATATGCCTAGTTCATGAGCTGCTAGTGGCCCAAAATAGTTAAGGTGCAGTTTATAGGCTAGGGCTCAGCGGACAGGCCATCGTACTGCCTTGGGCAAACTGCTTAGCTGCCTTTGTTTCTCCACCTGCAAGGTGGGTATTGCAGTAGTGCCATCTCCTAAAGTGGTGATGAATTTATATGACATTGAAGCAGTGAAACAGGAGCACCTCCCTTTTGAATTCTTTTCTATATTGAAAATGTGTCTTCTCCTTTTGCCTAGAGTAAGCAGAGTGATTAATACACCGTGTCTTTGCTAAATAATCCAAAGCTCCCAACCCTAAAATGTTCCTTAGGGAATTAACCATCACTGGAGAGACTCCTTGCCCTGAGGCATGAAGACCACCAAGATTTCATTGTGTTTAACCAAAGGTCTAGAGATTATGAACTGATCTGACTTCTACAAAGGTTTAGGCAGAAGCCTCTCAGCTCCTTCCCACTCCTCAATAATTACTGCTCCTGGGGCCAGGCAGGTGGTGTGATGGTTAAGGGTGCTGGACTCCTACATGGCCCACTGTGGTTCGAGTCCCAGACCTGGCAGCTTGATTTCTCACTCCCCCACCCCTCGGTCGATCTCTCTTTCTGTCCCTCTCTGGTTAATTTTTTTTTTTTTAAAGTGAATAAATAAAGTTAAGGGACCAGCAGGTGATTAGGTGGTTAAGGCGCTGGACACTCCCACATGGCCGACTGCAGTTCAAATACCGGATCTGGTGGCTTGCTTTCTCACTTTCCCTCTCTCTCTCTGTATCTCTCTCTGGTCAAATTAAAATAAATGAATGAATAAAATTAAATAATTTTTTAAATAAAGTTAAAATAATTCTTTAAAAAAAAAAAGAAAAAAATTATTACTGCTCCTGCCACGTCAACCCAAACATGTTTCTTTGCCTTTATAAATCCCCTTCTCCCTACACTGGAGCTGCGAAGTTGTGAGAGACATGAGTGCCCAGTATGCCGCTGGCTTAATCAATAAACTCCAATAAATTTGGCTGTGTCTGGATGTCCTCTCATTTCTCGCTGATTAGACTATAACATAGCCAAACGCGGTACCTGACAGAGTGAATGCTCTTTAAGTGGCTTTCATTATTTAGATTTGTGTTATGTTTATTTCCAGAAGGCAAGTCCTCCAGTCTCCACAGAAATGCTTTTCCCAGGGTCGCTGCCAACCACTTAATATTTCTTCCTATTTCCCACAGGGCACAGTGACACAGAAGCAGGCTTCCCTGGAACCCAGTCCTGGGGGTGGCCATGTCACCTCACTCAGGCCTCGCTGGCTCTGCAATTCCGCCCCGGGCAGAGGCGCAGGACTTAACCCGGATTTTTCACTTGGGTGAACTCAAGTTACCTGCGGATACCGGACCCCGTCTGACGGGCTTGGCAGTAGAAGAAATGCGGGCCCCGGCGGGCGGCAGGTGGTGGAGCTCACCCACCTGCCAAGCCCGAGGGTGAGCACTCCTCCTTCGCAGCATCCCTGGGGATTTCGTTCCCTTCTCGCCAGGCCGCCACCGGGACTGCCTTAACAGTGTCGACGCGGCGAAATCTTCCCAAATCCATTGCCACGATCTCTGAGAGAGCGCCAAGGGAGGTGAGCGAAGCGCTTCAGGAAGCCAGGTGAAGCGCAACATCCCTGGTGCGCGAGTTAAGCGCCCTGAACCAAAGTCCGCGCAGCCGCCACCTTGGTCTCCCGCTCGGGCCGCCGAAGCGAGGGCTC